TAACTTCTAAAAAATAGCATTTTCAGAAAAGTTTTATGATAATGTTACTGGGGAAAACATGCCCATGTAATAGAATTTACTTTTGGTGGTTGTAGCTTAATTACAAAAAATCACATTTTGAAATTCAGTTTACATATAATACATACATTTCAAATGCAGCTTGATGAGTTTAGGCAAATATTTATACCCATGTAATTCCTTCCTGATTAAGATAGAGGACATTTCCCTTCCCTAGAAACGTCCTCATACAGTTTACCCACTTTCCTATCTCCCAAAGCAGTAACTCATATTTGAACTTCATATAACTAGAATCATATATCCTCTGTAGTGTATGACTTGTTTCACTCATTGTAAAAGCTGAGACATTTGACTATAATATTGTATGTATCAGGATTTCTTTCCCTTTTATTACTGGGTTGTATTCCACTACATGAATATATCAGCTTATCACTTCTATTTATAGACATTTGCTATTATGAATAAGGCTGCTATAAACATTGGTTTACATGTCTTTTTTTTTTTTTTTTTTAAAGAATGATTTATTTGTTCGTACAGAACTGGGATACAGGCCAGAGGCTCAGGGGCGGTGAGAGGCTTCACCAGAGTGGGGAGCAGAACAGGCAGATCTACAAAGTACACTGCTGAGGGGAGCAGCGGGCGGGCCAGAAGAGGTCTGCTGGCACCATGTGGTCACCTCTGGGGTAGGCAGGGATCAAACTCATGCGGAAGTGGCTTAAGCTTCTTTGTACAGTGCTTTAACCCTCTGCGCCACCAGTGAGGGCCGGTTTACATGTCTTTTTATAGTTATGTTTTCATTTCTCTTAAATAACTAAGAGTGGTATTGATAGGTCATAAGCGTATATTTTACTTTATAATAGATTATCGAACTTTTCCTCAAAGCCGTATTATTTTATACCTCTGCTGGCAATGTATGGGAGTTCTAATAGTTCTTTTTGCCTGGACTTTTTTTATTGGGACTCCTTTGGTTACTGATTCGACTTCCTTATTTGTTGCTAGTCTGCTGGAATTTCCTGCTTCTTTATGGTTCACAGAGACTGCCCTAATGATCCCTGTTAGTTAAGACCCAAATGAACCTCTTGGGAAAGGCCTTATAATACTGGGGAGTTTGACCTTATAACCTCTTGGGAAAGGCCTTATAATAATGGGGAGGCAACATTATCCCACTTTAGCCCTTTCTCTGGGCTTTTAATTTGGTTCTTGGTCTCTGTGGTAGGAAAGTGCTTTAGCCCTATCCCTGGGTTCAGGAGTTTTTTTCAGTAATGTTTTCTCAATGGCTGGCTGTTAGTTGACCACTTTCGTTTGGAACTAAAGTTGACAATGGTCTGTGTTGCTTTCTTGATGACATAATACCATAGGATTTTCTGTATACACAATCATGTCTATGAACAGTCAAATCCTTATCTTTTCTTGCCTTATTGCATAAGCTAATTCTTCTGTACAGTGTTGAATAGAAGACATAATAGCTAAAATTCTTGTTTTTTCCCAGATTAGTTGAAAAAGTTTAGTGTTTTGCCATTAAGTATGATGTTTATGTAGATTTTCTTATAAATTAATTTTATTTGGTTGAGGAATTTCTACTCTTTTGTATTATTGAAAGGTTTAAATCATTAATGGCTTTGATTTTTACCAAATGCATTTTCTCTCTTGACATACTTTTTTTTCTGCTAATACAGTGAATTGATTTCAAATAGTAAATCATACTTTTTTAGTACTAAGCCCTGCCATTAGCTACTTGAGAGTTAATAAAATAGTTTAATTCTATTTACTAATTCTCTTTTTTTCCCCTATAATTTGCTTTTGTGTCCTATAAAGGACACTAAGAAATTGTACTTTGAAAAGTGATCTATCTTTTAAGGGAATGAGTGCCCATGCATTTCTGATTTCTAGCACTCTTCATTTCTTTTTGAAGTTTCACATTTCCATGAATCATTTGTTGATGACTAATTTGCAGCTTTCCCTCATATAAAAATGTCTTTCTTTCACTTTCAGTTTTAAAGAAAACTTTACTCGTAGAATTTTGGCTTGAAGCCTTTTTTCCCCCCATCTTTATTTTGAAAATAGTCTCATTTTCTTCTGAGCCCCCTTTGTTTATTGTAAGAGCAGTTTCTTTATGTGTTGTGTAGTTTTTCGCCCTCTTATGTCATGATTTTTCCTTTATTTTTTCTTTGTTAGTTCTTTAACTATGGTGTACATACAGTTAATTTTCGGTGTATTTATCATTTATCCCTAATGGGATTGCCGAGTTTCTTCAATTTGTAGGTGGATGCTTTTGTTTGTTTTTACCACATTTAGGTGATTTTCAACCATTTCTGTTTCTGTTTTTTTTTTCCCAAATTAACAGGGCTTTAATAATTTTTTAGAAGTTTTAAAGTTCTATTTTTGTAATTTCAGGGAAGGGTTTTTTTAGAGTCTGTTTCTGTTGACATCTTTATTTTTCAACTTAGTCACATTTACTGCATATTTGCTTTTCTGGTAACTTATAACCATATTGTTAGATAGTATGAATTGTTCATTGTGGAAGTTTTATTTTTTTCTTTTTAAATATGCTACATATCATTCTGGGATGCAGTTAATTCAACTGAGCTATTCTTATTCCTATCTAGGTTTGATTTTCAACTTTTGTTGAGCTTGTCTGGAGTAGTTCTTACTGTTGGGGATGACCTTATCCTTGAGTCTAGGTTCTTGTGGGATCTCATATAAATTTTTTTGGTGCTAATAAGGTTCCTCCCGGTATTGTGTGGCCTGTAGTAAGTCCATTTTTCAATAACGCCATAATAGCTATTGTCCGCCAGAGTAGCCATTGTCTGATAGGTACTTCAGAATATCCTCTCACCATATGTAGCTTAGCTTTTTACCCTACTAGTTCCTACTTCCAATTCTCTGCATCTTTACCATGACCCAGAAGTTGCACTTGCTTCAGTAGTTCCACACGGATATATGACCATTGCCTGAGCCTACAGCTTGGCTAACAGTAGGGTTCAACGTAGGTCTTTTTGTTTTTTCAAAGATCAAGGATCACTGTCTACACATATTATCTAGTGCTTGTAAGCAGGTGCTTCACTTGTATTGTTCAGTTTTATAGTTATTTATAGTAGGATGGGAAGTTTGGTATCAGTTACTCAGTTATGCTGAAATACAGGCCTCATTCTATTTTGCATATACCAAACAGGTAGTTATATATGGATATACAATCTAAGAGTATGACAGTTACTAGTAAATTATTAACAATTTAATGATAAATAACTTGGGTGTCGGAAATAAGTGCATATTTGAAGTTCTGAAAATTAATCAGAAAGTATTTGTTTCAACCCTTGATAGGATTATATACATAATCAAACAATTTAAGAGATTCCAAGGAATGAGAAGTCCATGATATTGGACTTTAATTACAAAGCTTTAATTACAAAGAATAGGGATCCATTCTGTATGTTCAGAGGATTATTTAATTTTGCAGATAAGTACCACAAAATTAAAGTATGTTTGATGGGTAAAATTTCTAGAGAAACTAAGTGAGGCCTACTTCACCAAAAGCTCTGAAAGTTTTTTTGTGCTTTAGTACTTTCATTTGTGTATAGAAAATTGAAAATCAGTTTTTTCCTTTATCTCATAAGATTGATTCCTCCCCACATTTCTTAATTTTGTTAAACTACATTTATATTTTAAAGACCAAGCCAAATGCTACGTAAGACTAATTGCTTTGCTTAATGGATGGCAAGAATGTTCTTTATATTGTCATTTCTGAGCCCCTTCCCATATGTAGTAAATGGATAATAAATTAAGATCAAATATGAATGTATCTTTGTTAGAACTGAAAATTATTATGCAACTATGTAAAATATATTTTTATTAGTATATTTTATTAACACACTTTCTGCTCTTCTAAGGATTTATTGGAATTGTTTGAATATTTTTATTTATTTATTTTTAAAAAGATTTTATTTATTTATGCATGCAAAACTGGGGTATAGGCCAGAGGCTGAGGGGAGCAGTGGGTGGGTCAGGAGATGTCTGCTGTGTCATGTGGATCACCTCCAGGGCCAGGGATCAAACTCACTGAGGCGGCCACCGCCAGCTTCGCAGTGCTGTGCTTCACTCACTGCAGCATCAGGGAGGGCCTTGAATATTTTTTTTTTAAAGATTTATTTATTTATGCATACAGAACTGGGGTACAGGCCAGAGATGTGGAGGGTGAGAGGCTTCACTAGAGACAGAGTGGGGAGCAGAACAGGCAGATCGACGAAGTACACTGCTGAGGGTAGCAGCGGACGGGTCAGGAGAGGTCTGCCGCGCCATGTGGTCACCTCCGGGGCAGGCGGGAGTCGAACTCATGCGGAAGCCGTCTCAGATTCTCAGTGCGCTGCTTTAACCCGCTGCGCCACCAGGGAGGGCCGGGCCTTGAATATTTTTAAAAAGTGAAATGAGGCCCTCCCTGGTGGCGCAGCGGGTTAAAGCACAGCACTAAGAAGCCTAAGCCACTTACGCATGAGTTCGATCCCCGCCTGCCCTGGAGGAGATCCACATGGCGTGGCAGACCTCTCCTGACTCGCCCGTTGCTCCCCTCAGCAGTGTACTTCTTCGATCTGCCTGTTCTGCTCCCCACTCTGTCCCTGGTGAATCCTTTCACCCTCCACATCTCTGGCCTGTACCCCAGTTCTGTATGAATAAATAAATAAATCTTTAAAAAAAAAAAGTGAAATGATCTTAAATTGGGGTTTAGTTGGTGAATTTATATCAGCTTATTAAATACTCAGTATATTTGGTACTTTTGCTTGAAGAGCTCAATAAATCCTGATTTGTCTGTTTTTGTCTTTTGGGGATAGTAAGAAAAGGTAATGGTTATTTTAAAATTCTACTGTGATTTGTTTTCAGTGGACATTTACACATAGCAATAATACATTGGCTAAGTTTTGATGTCATTAATTTCCAACATGTTTTTAAATTTTTATAGTTGACTAATTTTCTTTTCTTAATATTCTAGCTCTGTCAATATCAGCTCACGTCGTTGAAAAGATAATTTTGAAGACATGTCTTGCTGAAAAAACAACTGAGAAAAATTTTACGGATGGGATGAACACGCGCCAGTCAAATTGACTACCTTCTGCAATTTGAATGTTAACATTGCCCACTTGGTACAGTTACCTAGTGATGTACCTGTTCTCACAATACCCTATTTCATTGTGCTTGTCTTGATTAAAGAATTCAAAGTGGAGTACCGCAAACTTGATATGGATAATAAAAAGAAAGACAAAGACAAATCAGATGATAGGATGGCACGACCTGGTGGTCGGTCAGGACATAGTACTCGTGGAACTGGGTCTTCTTCCTCTGGAGTTTTAATGGTTGGACCTAACTTTAGAGTTGGCAAAAAAATTGGATGCGGCAATTTTGGAGAATTACGATTAGGTAAGAGTATTGTTTCTTTTACTGTGTTGGAAACTTTTTTTTTTTTTGAGGAAAGATATTATCTGATGAAAATAATTTAGATATTTGATATAGTCATTTTAAAGAACACAGATTCTAGAAATTTCACATATACTTTTATTTTTCATTTGTAAGGAATTCTCTTAATATTGGAATGTCTATTTACTTGAGAGTAACCATGCAGAATATGGGATAAAAGAAAGTAAATTAAGAAATTATAAATTAGGAATTAGATTTAGGTTTTTTTTCCCTGATTTAAACCCTTTTAGTAACTATAATCATTTTTGGTGGCTATGTATGGTTTAAACTGAATGTAATACCCTGAAACTATGTAACAATCAGTGAAATATACATTGTTGTGATTTATTCAAATCCTCTCCACCCTAGTACCTTCATGGTGAGGTCTTAGGTATCTATACAAAGTACAAACTCACCTAATTCTTCTAATTAGATAAGTTTGAGAAACATAGATGTAATTAAATCTCTTAATACTGTTTTTAAAGCAGTTAGTACTGCCAAATGTCAAAACGTAATTAAAGACAGACTCAGGAACAGAATTGAGGTTTTTAACTCCTGGTGCAATTGAAATGTGCCTTTCTTCATTGGAAAAAAGCAAGAAGGTACACAGCCTAGTTATAGGCAGCATAAGATTACCTTGAGAGTTCTGGTATTATTATTTCCCAAAGTAGAAACTATAGAAGTAAAAAAAAAAAAAAAGGAAAAAGTTGTTTTCACAGTTTGCATTAGATCCAACTCATTATTGTAAGTAAATTCAATTCTGTGTTTATCTACTCAACTGTTTATCTTTTTCATCTTATAAAGCACCCTAATTTGTAGTTACTCCTTAATTTTATAATTGTTTGGTATAAAGTACATTAAATCTTAGACTGAAGACAGCCAATAAAAGGCAGTGACAAAGTTTGTGCATAGCTGGAATGTGACGAGTGACTGGCAGACTGCACTAAAGGGTGAAAGTTTTATATTTAATTTTTTGAAGAATGTTGAGTTGGTTATTTTGAAAATCTTAAATTACTTGTAATTTTGGAGATAGAAAAATTAGATTGTTTACTTGGGTAATTCTGAGTACCATGTATCAATTCATTCAGTATTTATTGCATGTCTGTTATAGGTGAAGCATGATAGTCATAATACATCAGAAAGACTGAAAAACCATCTCTAGTGTTATAGAAAACATAAGCTATTTTTAGCCACTTAGGACCTCAAATTTCTCAGTTTGAAAATGGGATTATTTCCCCTTCCTAATTTATTTTGAAGATTACATTTAAATGGTAATGTAAAGGACTTTGACTATGCTTACATGTTTCACAAGACAATGAATGTTACGTTCTTTTAAAAAATAATACGAGATGCTTGTTTATCTTTTAAAATTTAAATTCCATCATGTGTATTTAAGTATATATAAATTAGCTATGTAGATGTATTTTATAAATATACGTTGCGTTTATTTATTGTTCTTTCTCATAACCAAGACAATATAAAGCAGCATATGTACTGAAACTATAGGTGCTATACGTGGAAAAAAAACAATAAAATACATTTCTTTTGCAGTCTAAATAGATAGACTAGGAATAAGACTAGTCTTTTAGCCTGTCCCTTCATTGGCCATACATTGTCTATCCTCTTCCTGTACTGAATCAGTGCAAACGAAGCTACATGTAATACAGGGTTACATTACATATGTATAGTTTTTTGTTTATTATGTGTCACATCTTACTCTTGTGTACAAGGAAAGACTGCTACATCTGGGATTTATCAGTTCTTTGATACAGTATAGGCCTCAGTTGGTGATTACCCAAGTTGTTGCCAGCAAGAAGAAAAGGGCCAGGGCCATTTATCTACCTTTTTGAAGTGGGGAGTCACTTACCTCATGTCCATTCATATCCAGAATTTAATCACATGACCATGTTATACTGAATGGGAGACTGGAAATGTAGTTTCTAGCCACGCAGTCATTTAAAACATAGGGCATTCTACTGTGATCCAAGGGGAGAATGTTAGCAGTCTCTGCTATAAACATGCACAGTATGTTGATAGGGATATGTCTATATTTGTATTCTGTGGGACATAATTTTTAAATGATAATTATGTAACTCAGACACCCCAAAGTTGTTAAAAATTTTTTTCAGGGTCAGTGTCGCACAGAACTCTCTTGGAAATAGCTTTTGAAATTGGATTTAAACATCAGTAATTGGAACCAGCCTGTATGAAGGTTTCAATTTACTAGATTCTCTCTATACATATTACTTTACATTCTTGTTATGTGAGCAAACACATCTTTGTGTGTCATTTATTTATGAGCAAAGCAAAAAAGTAATTAAAAGCCAACTCTGTGGGGAAGTAATACTGAATTTTCAGTGATGGAAGATGTATTGGTAGAATTGTTTATTTGTTGTTCACTTTTATAAATATAACCCAGAGATTTCAGGAAATTCTGTAATGTCTAAAAAACTTGATGCTTTTAGTATTTAATATTTTCTGCTGTTGACCTAAAAGTGGACATTTAACCACATAAAACTAACTAAACCAGTACTGTAATTAGTATTTGATATACATTGGTTCTACAGAATGCATATTTAGCTTAGCTTAGCTATTGTACTATGACTTTTTCTTTGTGTATTTGTGACTATCACATACAGTATAGTAATGAAAATTCTTGCTGAAATATGGATTCCAACAAAACAGATTTGCCCCTTTATTAGACACTGGTTTCTCAAGAGTCATTTTCTTACTATTTTATTTACTGTAAGCTCACAGAAAGCGAAGGTTCTGTACAAAAATGCATTCTTGAAAGTGTATATGATAGCATATCTAAATGGTGAAGTAGTTGGCTAACCAATTTTTTCTAGTATTTAAAAGGATTTGTGGGCTCTGCAAATAGACGCCAGAGTACAGCATTATTGCCACCGTTTTAGCACTCCTTTTGGGTTCTAGCTTGTGTCATACTAACTGTGAGACATACTATTTAGATTAGTATTAATGCTTGTTTTTCTCTCTGCCCGACTAATATGTATGAAATAATAACAAAAATCAGAAAACTAGTAAATTGGCATGAACAAGCACTGCTGTACAAAAGTGGATCATTCAGGATTGGAATTTTGTTTAGAAGTTTTGCTACCATTCATGAGGTGCTGTATGAAAGGAAGTTAGGGGTATTGTGTCATAAAAGCATATGTGAAAGTTCATGATTATAATGCTCTGTGTTCAGGGCAATTACTTTCATAGCTGAAAACTATCCCTGTTTTGCTCATAAAACTAATTCTTGCTTAGTGAATAAATACTGAGTTACATATTGTTGTATTTCATTTTAAAAGTCATTTTAATATACTTGTAAAGAGGCTCATCATTTGTGTAACAAATTGTCTTCATATACTTCACAGCTTCCAAAATTCTAACCAGTGCTTTGTGGGGGCTGCAGGTGCTGTTCTGTTGCAGTTTTCTGGATTAGTTTCCATGGCCAAAATTTGCTGGCATTCATTTGAATTCTTCACATATTGATGATATTAAACCTATCCTGGTTTTCACTTATCTGTTCTTTCTGTTTGGTAGATTATTTTTTGAATATGTAGAAGTCAGTCATTTTTCACTGTAACAGACTCTGTATAAATTCTGATCTGTCATTTTCCATTCTCCTTGTGCTCAAAATGGTGTCCAGTCCATATATTGGTAATAAATGTTTCTCTTACTTTGTAGATTTCATTTAACTCCTAAGAAGTCTAGGGTGATGCTGTAAAACCTTCAAACTAATTTATGAGAGAAAATTAATTTTTAATATAGTCGATTTTTTCTGTGTTTTGCTCTATTAAGTATATTTAGTATGCACCCTAGTAAAATTACCTCACGATAATGAAGAATTTAAAATGAACTTGTGGTTGGAAGTGGAATTTTGTGTTCCTATTTTTATATAGGAATTCTGGTTTTGAAGTTTAATTAAGCAGGTATTTTCCAGTTGATTGTTTTCTAAACAAATAAAAGTCTTTCCATTTTTATAAATCGGCTGGTATTTATAAATATTACTGTCTACTCTGAATCCAGATGAAATACTACATGTATTATTGTATCGATTTAAAATACTTGCTTATAATTGAGGTTTTTTTTGGCTAAACTAGTTGAAAGTAAAAATTTGCATCATTTAAAAATGTAGCATATACTTTTCAAATGTAATATGTTTTAACAATAGTTACTATTGAGCCTCACCTGTTTTCTTTTTTTTTCCCCCAAGGGAAAAATTTATATACAAATGAATATGTGGCAATTAAACTGGTAAGTTCACCTTTCTTATTTATGTTTATTTTTTCTTTAATGATTAACTTACATTTTTTATTTTCATATCTTTTATAGCAAGTCATTTTTTGGAAAATGATATATATATAGCTAATCTTTTGTAAAGATTGTAAATGATATATATATATAGCTAATCTTTTGTAAAGGATAATTCTTGGAATTATCCTGCCCTTTAAACATTTTGTAATGAAGAGGATGTCTTTGTCTTCCTGTGCCACACAAATTCAGTCTCTTTATATTGGAGCATTTATAGAATAGAATTTTTGAATTTGGGCACTATTTTTCATTATAGGATAATTAGAAAGCAAAATTTAATTTCCTGATATAAGCACGTGGATAATGTTTCCTTCGTAGTCAGGATTGAATTTTTTGAAAATTTATTTCCAGATAGCTTTGAAAGCATTTTTTCTCTTGATATTTTTGGTATGGTTAAAGCTTGACTTCCAGTGATCAGAAATAATTGAAAAGAAAAAGCAAGCTCCTGCAGGACTATGGTGCTGTCCTTAGTGGGGTACACTGCTGTAAGGCAGCTTTCATTTGGAATAGTTGAGATCTGGGAAATTTGAAAGAGATACCTTTTTTGGCAGCTCTCCTGACTGCCTGTGGCTATACAGGTGCCTCTCTATTTCTTTGTCCTTTTCCTAGTAAACCTGTTCTTCTAATGTGTTTTAAAAAAAAAGAAAAAAGGACATAATTTTATCCTGAGACAGCTGTTCTGTCTATTTTACCACCCATGCTCCTCAGACATTAAGCATAGTTTGGTTTTCCCAGTTTTCGTGCTTTCCTCAATTTTGTCTCTCGAAGTATTCTATATTAGGAAAATGTGAGACTGATAAGGAAAGCTGTTAGAGGAAGAAGCCTGTTGGAGGAGAAAGATTATCTTTTGAAATATGATAGAAATCTGTACTATATAATTTTAACACTCTTTGCACAAGTGTAGACCAGATTTTACTGGGATTGTGGCGCCTCAGAAGAGACTGCCGGCTCACACGTGGCTAGGACTGGCACTTAACCTAGATTAGTTCACCATTGGTTTTATGAACTGATCCTTTATGACAGAAAATCTGGTTAGTTCACCTCTTTAACGTCACTGGTTATCAGAGGTGATATTAACAGTAAGCAGTGTATTAAACTGATTGTAACCTTTTGCAAAGAGTTAATTTCAAATTTTTTAATGAAGTATTTTACTGCTATAGATACAGAATGCACAAATCAGAATAATTGTTTTCTTCCCATATTCTGATGTACATTAGTTAAAATAACAAGATTTCCCTCATAAGCATAAAATCTGGAAAATGACATTGGTTTATATGAGTAGCAGTAAAGAGATTTGGGGTGCAACTATTGTATCATATTTGAACACTGCTGCTTTTCATTTCTTCCCCCCCCCATGTGCTAAGATAGTGGGCTAGGATCCATACCTTTAGTTATTAGGAGTGGGGGTGGAATACAAGAATAGTAGTGCCACAGGACCTTTATTCTGTGTTACTGATGTGGCATCCTGTAGGGAACAGTTCTGCTTAACGAAGCATGTGAATGGTAGTTAGCTGCTATTTTTTAAGCAAGTCAACCTAGACTAACCTTCCCCTTATTTGTATCAGTCATTTAGATTTAGAACTAATCCCTGTCCATGCCATATTGATGCTTTAGTAAGCAATTATTTTATCGTCTTTTAGCCTTCTTACGTATATACATATATATTATTCTTTTTCGTTTATCTTAATGTCATTTCACTCTCTGTTTCATTTCCGTCTCCTACTCCCCTCTAACTCCCTTTGTTTTTTGAATATTCTTCCTCTATTCTGGTTTGCTTTTTCCAAAGCACAACATACTAATAAAGGTGTTCTATGGGGAACTGGAATTTTTTGGTCTCTGTATCTCTAATGTTTTCAGGTTACCTCAGAGTCATCCAAAAACTATATTGCAAGGACAAAGAAATATTCACATAAACTATTGTTTACTAAATTATGTCGTTTCCTATAAACTGAGTTGATAGAATTTTTGTGACTACAAAAATAAATATAAAAGATCCATATGATTGTATTTATATTGTATCTGTTCATAACAGATAATAAAATTTGTTCAGAACTTGCCATAAAAGTAATCACTTGAAAATGTTAGATTTGTATAACTTTAGTGCTGTTTTCTACTTTGGTACAAATAAAGGCGTTACAGTGGTATCCAGAGAACAGATTTCACTGACTAATTTAGTTCCCGCTTCTGAATGTTTTTATGTGTTTTCCTAGATCAGATTGGTAACTTGTTTCAGGATAGTTTGTTAATTTCTTGTCAGCCATCATTCCATATATTGTTAGTTGTACTTGTGTAATAATATACTCTTTAAGAATAATTAAAACGTCATGGTGAGGTAGATTTTTTTTATACAATGGCATCATAAAGTTTTATTGCTGGTAAAGTACTGGAGTCAAGTTGAACTTACTGAACTACATTACAGCTGGATTTCTATTTTTACCTTAGGGATATCAGTGATTGAATGAGTTATGTATTTAAATTCATTTGTGATTACTTAAGTGAGCATCTTTTACTGCATTATCTGTTTATGTTCTTTTATATACTTGTATACACTTTTACATGAAAAATTATAGGTAAAATAGTATATGTGGAAGACACTGCATTAGTTACTCTGTGTATGTGTAAATGTGTCTTCTCTGTGTGTGTATACAGTACAGTTTCCTTTGTGTCTGTTCTTACATCCTGCCCTCTTAAGAACTAAACTGATAATTTTTTAACAATATTTCTATAATTGTTCTAGTAGAATTTCATTCTTTCCTTTTTTTTTGTAAGAGTCATTTATTTGTGCATACAGAACTGGGGTACAGGGCAGAGGTGGGGAGGGCGCTGAGTGGATTCACCGGAGACAGAGTGGGAAGCAGGTGTACTGAAATACACTGCCAAGGGGAGCAACGGGTGAGATGGAGACGTCTGCCGTGCCATATGGGTCACCTCCCTGGGCGGGGATCAAACGCTTGGCTGCAGTGGCTGTGGAAAGCTTCATAGTGCTGCGCTTTAACTTGTTGCACCACCAGAGAGGGCCAAATTTCACTCATTTATTACTTGAAGTTTGTGTACTAGTCATGCTTTCATTACTTGGTATAAATTTCATTTTGTTTATATTTTGGGATTCATATTCCTCTTGAATCTGTGGTTTGTTAACCAATAATATTCATGACAGTTATTTCTTCAGTTGTTGCCTTTGTTAACTTTTCTCCTTTCTCCTAAAACTCTGTGTGTTTCATCTTCTCATAATATTGTCCAGATCTGTAATCTTTTGTATTTTTGCTTTACTTTCTTTATAATATATTCTGTAGAGTTTTTAGAGATGTACTCTGTGTAATTTTCTACTTTGCTAGACTTACTTTATTTCCAGCTTCCTGATTCTCTTCTCATGTTATGTTAATCTGCTGGCAAAGTGAGTGTTAAATTCTGGTTATTGTAAATTAAAAAAAAAATTGTTGAAATTCTGTTGGTCCTTATATTTTCTGTTATATGGTTGGTTCTTGTTCACATTTCCTGTGTTATTTTATAGTTTTCTGTTTGCCGCAGGTATTTTCACACATTTACTATTTTTCAATATCCAAAACATCTTGTTCCTTCTCTTTATGTTGCCTGTGTATGTATGTGTGTATGTATATGTATACATTTCAAAAACATGGGAGAAAATACAACACAGACATATCAAGCTTGTCCAGTTTGCTGTAACATATGATATATGTGAATACCAATGATTGACAAAAGTAATCCAGAGGTGATAAAAATGGAAAAAGTGATTTCTTCTAAAGGAGGAATGATGGAAATGTTCTAAAGGTTATTCAAGGTACTGATGGTAGGGTTATATACAGTTAACAAAACTCATGGACTGATACTTAGGAGCTATGTATTTTATTATAAGTCACAATACTTCCACAAAAACCTTTAAAAAGGCAGTAGGTGAAATAGTGTAAGGGCCACTACTTCTCTAGTCATGAATATTTGAATGTCTTTAGGGTCTAAGAATGAAACTAGATTTACCCAGTGCTTGATCTAATTGCCATTTAATCTTATATATAGCTATTGTTATCAGTTTGAATGTGAATTTGATTTTTATGTGGATTTAACAGAGAAACAAAGATACCTAGGAAAATATTACATTATATAAGAGTTGGCAATAAGATTTATAACATTTAGAGCCTAGTGATTCTTTTTTAATAATTGAAATTATGTTGTTGTTGTTTAAATCAGGAGCCCATGAAATCCAGAGCACCACAGCTACATTTGGAATACAGATTCTACAAGCAGCTAGGATCTGGAGGTAAAATCTTACATTGATTTTAAAATCTGGGATAAAATGGATTATTATGCTAATACCACTCTAGTTTTAAGGAGTAGAATTTTAATATGGTTGAAAAGATTGATTTAAGGCTGTACATACTAGATATTTTCTTACTAGAATCTATATTCCCATTTGATTGTAAATGTATTTTGGGGATTTTTGTGTTGCTGTTAATTTGAGTAGAGAACATTGTGAAACAATATAATTTGAGAACATTATGTGCATATAACTTCCATATTTTTTGCCTTTTAGAGAATATTACAGCTATTGGAATGGTTTATGACATTGTGGTAATCTGAAAATGGCCTCATAAAACATTTATATTATATTGTGTTATAATCTTTGTAATCTGTAAATGATTTATGGCAAATTTTGCAGATATGACTAGGTTAAGGAATTTGAGATGGGGAGATTATTTTGATTGTTCATTTGAACCCTAAAAGCATACCCAAGTGTTTTTGTAAAAGTGTTCTGTGTTTTGTGTACACAGAAGAGAAGGCAGAGTGAGCCTAGGTAGAAGTTGGAGTGGGACAGCCATAAACCCAGGAATACAAGCAGCCACAAGAACCTGGCATAGGCCTCTGGGATTCTTCCTAACGACTTGAGAAGGAATGGGCCTGTGCTAATATCTTGACTGATTCTTGTGATTTCAGATATTTGGCATCCAGAATGGGGAGAAACTGAATTTTTGTTATAAACCACAAACATATAGTAATTATAATATACTAATAAACTAATAACAAGTATAATTTTACACAGACTCTAAATTTAAATGAGAATGGATATTTTTCTAGGGAAAACTGAGAATACTTTCTATTGTATGCTCCATTTTCTTCATGTTGAGTCTTCTCTCCTTTTCCTGTTCAGTTTTTCTTCTAACTTCATGATTTTATATGTACAGCGTACAAGGTATTATACTTGTTTTCCCAGATTTAAAACAATGAGATTTTTTTTGATGCATCTTTTTATAATACAAGTTTATATAGTTGCTGGATCAGCTGTCTATTTCTTAATATATTATTGTATTCTTTTTTCACTAAGAGCATACTATCCAAGTGAGTAGTCATTATGAGGACAGTAAGTTTGAAATTTTGTTTTAATGTTTATTATTATAAACATTTTAATTTTTTTATTGAAGTATTTTAACATATAAGTTGCATGTGTGCATCATTGAACTATAGACTTTTTATAATGCATATTTAAGTCTGATAGAGGAAGCCACCAGGAGTTGCCAAAATTATCACTGTCAAGTAAGATTTAAAGGATTGGGGATCAAATTAATTTATTTGAGACCATATAAATTAAAGTCCAGCTAGTGATAGAAAGCCCTAAGAAGCTAAATCTACTGACCCATATGCTGGAAATTCAAGGCAAGTACCAGTTTATAACACATTATTCTGTTCAGGTCTTGAAAAGAAAAGAATGAGATCTCTCAGCAGACAGTACAGAAAATGACAAGAAAGGAGGGATGGGGCAAAAACCATTAAGAGGCACTGCATTGTAGGAATGGCTTTCACTAACAAAACCATGACTGCTCAGCTTAGACTAGTAAAGTGTGACAAGTGAAGAAAGTACATTTTGAGGTGGCAGTTATAGGGTTGATAGAACTACTGAACGACAAGATAGTGCCTGTCTATAGATTTCAGCTTCTGTTTTTTAGCATGTGGCTTTTGTTTTTATGATCCTGTTCATCTTTCTGATCTATTGATAGTAAGGAGGGGAAAAAGAATTAAATTACTATCTACATAAGAATAACTTCCAATTCCTTATCTCCTTACTCCGTTCTTGAAATGTGGTTTGTGTGCATGTGCCTACTAGAATCAGAAATTCTACATTCCTACCATTCATCCTCCTAGTTTCTTTTCTAATAATTTTCTTTTCTTCAAAAAAAAGAAAAGCTGTTTTCTCTTCTGAATTTACATATTTTCTAGGGCACACCCTTTTAAGGTAAAAATGTTGTCGCCTTTGATTTTAACTCAAAAGGTTGTCAGTTCTTTCTGTGAACTATTTCTTGATTTTTCATTCTCTTCTTCCGTCTCTGGGACTCTTTTCATTTGAGTTGCGCTTACTTTGTGTGTCTCATTTCTTGTTATGAGCCCTCCTCAGAGAGGCTTATCATTTAGCATGAAACCCAAACTTTGTTCTCTTTTATTCCCTTATTTTTTTTTAAACTGTACTCAACTTACTTTTCTTTGAATAGATCTCCATATGCCTGCATTCTCTTTGGAATGTCTTTATTTCTCAATGCGTTTCTTCTTAACTTCAAGCCCAAACTAAATGTTATTTACCTCTTTTACAACATATTTCCTGGCATCTCTGTTTTTCTTCCGTGAAACTTCTTTTGTAACCTGGAATTATTTTGACTCTATCTTTATTTTTCTTTTGTCATATCATATTATTCCCTTGTGTCCATTTCCTATACTATACTCAAATTCTTTGAGGACAGTGAACTTAAATATTCCATCTTTTTTATCCACAAAATTGAATAGAGTGATACTTGTATACAACTGGTTGAAACTAACATTTCTTTTGTTGTTAAGGTAACACTGGTTTATACACTCTATGATTACAAGATACAGGTTCAGACCTCTTCAGGTGTATAATACCACCTCACATATTACCACAGGCCCTGTCGTTCTTCCTCCTAGTCCACTGGGTCTTCTTCCCCTTTTACTTCCCACACCCTCTTCAGTAACCTTAATTTTACATACAGATATATTTAGGGTTTGTGAAATGATAAGTTCCCAAATGAAAATAATACATTGTTTTCTGTCATTAGAAGTGACTTGATTTTTTAATATACAAAATTGTTACATTATTGAATTTTGAGTTTATTCAATTTTGACAGTGATACAATTTTTAAAAATTAATTTTATTCATATCAACCTCTTAAATACATTTAATTCTTAGAAACAACAAAATCATTGATGAGAATTTTTTTGAATTAATGGAAATTTTCGAATTTTTTTTAATTAATGGGAATTATCACCCAAGAGAATACTTAGATAGCTTAAAGTATCTAGAAGAATATACAGTTCATCCTGCCCATTTTAAAATAATCACTTTCCAGGAAGCTTAGGTTTTAATTACTAAAGTTGCTTCATTTTTTAAAAAAATTTACTTTAGAAGTTTAGTTGAGTTGTTGATAATTCATTAAAATGCATTTTGAAATGTATGGGTAGTTTTTTTGTGTGTGTCTGTAGTTGTAGAGTAGTGAAATTTTTTTTTTGAAGATTTATTTATTTATGCATACAGAACTGGGATACAGCCCAGAGGTACAGGGGGTGAGAGGATTCACCAGAGACAGAATGGGGAGCAGAACAGGCAGATTGACGAAGTACACTGCTGAGGGGAGCAGTGGGAGAGATCGGAGAGTCTGCTGTGCCATGTGGGTCACCTCCCGGGCGGGGATTGAACTTACCCTGAAGCAGCTGTGGCTAGCTTGCAGTGCTGTGTCCTAACCTGTTGTGCTACCAGAGAGGGCCCATATATGGGTAATTTTGTTTGAAAAGCTGTGATTCTGAGTAGTTTTGTTTTATATTGTTTCCTTGACAGTAGATGGGGAAAACTTGGTAATTGTTCATTCTTTGCAATTTCTTTGTCAACTGATACCTTGATCACAGAGAGTAAAATAATCTTTTTTTCTTGTGAAATTTTGCTTATCAAAAGAAGCAAAATCTTTTTTTCTGCTATACATTTTCCTTTACAAACCTTCCTAAAAATGATATTAATCTTTGAGAATATGCATATGCCAACTCTGCTGTTTTTTAAGTGAGTAGCTTGATGTTTTCTACTATATTTCTAATACAGTATTTTGATGATAGCAGAAATGCATTTTTCTAAATTTATTACTTCTTTTTGTATCATCTAATGAAATGATTGTTAGTAAAACTTTTTTTTTAATGCTGACTATGCTGTTTCAGTTTGCGCCCCTTTTAGAAAAAAATCAAGTTTTATAAATGTTTTGCTATGATTTATAGATGCTTATGTTTCTGTGTTCTTTTGAAACCCATTTAACATTGCTTGTTAGCTAAATGAATGCTGGTAGTTCCATAATGTATGGAATATTTGTAATACTCACTTTTGATAGGGGTTATCGATATTAGTGTAAGTCTTGTAAATGTACATACACAAATTTTATATATTGAAAATCATTTTATTCACTGACTTTCTCAGACTATGTTTTAAGAAATTCTACTTTTTGTATGTATTAGAGTTTTCTTTTTACAATATTGTGAAACCCCTGAAATTTAAGTAAACAACTAATCAGCATATTACCTATTATATACCTGCTAATATTTTATATTAGCAGAAATAATGAAGATTACTATGTGAGTGAATTACTGGTTATGTGTTTCAACTTAGATAACCAGTAATTTATGTAGCAGATTAATAAAGTTCTGCTTTTCTGTCTTAGCTTAATTGCATTTAGAACAACTACATGTAGTAGTTTTAATTCTTTCTTGATGACCCTTTATATGGGCGTTTCTCTAAGTTACACATTCCTACTATTTATTATTTTGTGTATATGTATGTAGATTGTTACAATAGACAGAAGTGTTCAAGGTTTTTCTGTAAAGTTTTCATTTATGGAGAATGCTTATTTTAAAGACTGCCAGCATTATTATTACAAGAAAGAAGGGTTAACTCACAGGTTTCAGCTTGGTTTACATGGTATAAGTGGAAAAGTAGTGTGGTTACCTGGTAATTGTAGTATTTTCAGTGATTAATCATGTAAGGATAGTAAAAAACATATTAAATAGGGTATAACTAAATGGTGGTTAGGTATTTAATTTCCTAAAATACAGCATGAATTTTCTAATCCCCTATGTAGTAGTAAAAAGACAGGAAGTAAAGCCATAAACAGTAATTGCATATTTCATGTATTTAAATATAATCAAGCAATGGGAAAGACTGTCGTCAGTGGAGGAGAATGAGTAAGAATTCATTAAAAATATGAAGTAGTACATTGTGAGAAG